ATCAGCTTCACTGTTTAAAAAGAAAGTACAATAAGTTTGCAGCAAATCTGGTGGGGTACAGCGAGCTGGTTGGTGGTAGAAGTGAGAGGTCCCTGCGAGGCTGGGTTGGAGCTGACGAGATGCAGGAAGAGCGATGCTCTGTGCAGGGCTGGGACGTGGCACTAGACGCCCGCTGCTGTGTGTGTGTGTGAGCGGGGTCTGGAGGCACCTTTGATTGCTGGCACGCTGGCCGTGCTGCTGCGGGGCATGTCGAGAGGAGGACGCCTGAAATGTAGAGGAGGTCGGGTGTAACGTGGCTGAAGCTGAAGCGCAGTGGGGACAGCGTTCCTGCACACGATGGGTCTGCTACTGGTCCAGCTGGAATCATCTGCGTCTGGCACAGGGCGTCCCCGGTCCTGCCCCCCGGCCACCCCTGCGCTCCCCTCCACTACCCAAACCTTACCACCTACACACAGTACGCTTCCCCACAAATATCCTGAGCTGCTCCTTGCAAATGCTGTTTTGCTTTGTGTTGTGTGCAAAATGAGTTAATTTGTACCTAATTCAGGAAATGAATCTCTGAATTAGATTTGCGCTCGAAATTCCTGCTTCCACCAAGTGGTACTTATTTTTTCTTTCAAAAAATACTTTTCTAATTCTAGGCAGTGAATAAACGGAAGAAAAAGAAGATACAGTTAAAAAGTTAATATTAGGCAAAGGTGTTTTATACTGTCTGTCTGTCTGTCTGTGTTTTATACTGTTTGTGACTTTCTGGAAAGGAACAAGTCCCAGCTAAATGTTAACTCCTGAAGGGCTCTGACTGCATCCATAAAGCCATCGGCCTGCCAAGCTTGTGTAGTCTTTTGCTACAGTACTAGCTCTTGCTGAGCAAAGTATATTTGTTCTGCAATTCGCAGTCAGAAATTATTGTCACTTGTGTGGTGATAGTGAGTGAGCTTCTGCCAAGGGCTCAGGCAGCACACTGCGTAGTCCAAGAGGAGGAGATCATTCCCCACTCCCAAGGCTAAGCCAAGAAAAGTCCAAAGCCGGGTGCAGTTCAGTGGGCAGTTCTGACACCAGAAATTTTGACTGAAATCAGGCTCTTCTCTATCTGTTTGGTCCTCACCCCATAGATGATGGGGTTGGCCACAGCAGGCACCAGGATGTAGATGTTCCCCATGGTGATATGGACCAGTGGAGCCAGGTCCTTCCCAAACCTGTGCACCACAGACAGCCCGATCAGGGGCACGTAGAAGGCCAGGACCACGCAGATGTGGGCGACGCAGGTGCTGAACACCTTGAGCCTCTCCTTCCACAACGCCAGCCGCAAGACAGCCTTGAGGATCAGGACGTAGGAGAGGCAGATGAGGACGGCGTCCAGCCCCATGACGAGCAGGATGGCGGTGAGGCCGTACACCACGCTGGGGGTGGCGTTGGCACAGGCCAGGTTCATCACGTCCTGGTGCAGGCAGAAGGAGTGTGACAGCAGCCGGGAGCTGCAGAAGGGGAGGGGCGGAGCAGCCCTTGGTTCTGTCTCTGCTCTGGAGCCAGGTGATGGTGTGGCAGTTGTACAACTTTAAGTGTGGTTTATTTTTTTTATACGGAAATGATATTCCCCGCGTGAGAGCTGCACTGTAGCACCACCAGAGCAGTGCTTTTATAGCGTGAAACAGCTGTACGTGCTATACAGGGTCACAGAGTCACTGAGGCTGGCCGGCACCTCTGGAGATCGTCCCGGCCAGCCCCTCTGCTCCGACAGGGTTGCCCAGAGCAGGTTGCTCAGGATCGCGTGCACCTCTGTTTTGTGTATCTCCAAGGATGGAGGTTCTACAGCCTCTCTGGGCAACCTGTGCCAGTGTTTGATTAACATCGCCATAAAAAACCCCACGGTATTTGTTATGTTTAAAAGGAATTTCCTGGTTTTTCCTATTATCTCTTGTCCTCTCACTGGGTATCACTAAGAATGTGGCTTTGTCTTCGTTACTCCCTCCCATCAGGTATCTATACACACTAAGAAGGCATGCTCACGCACAGAATCTCTTTGCCCAGGGAAATGCCCCTTCAACAGGGACAATGCCCCTTCAACAGGGACAATGCCTGCCTGAAGATGCTTGAGACTCAGAAAAGACAATAGTTTGTGGTGGTAACTATTCATACAGTACTGATACAACCTAGAGGACCACCAGCGGGCTGGCATTGCTCTGTGGGTTATTTATTATCTACGTTAGAAGCAGCTGGGATGAGTCGGTCGCCAGGACGACTGCACGTACTAGTCATGCCCTTTGCTGTCCCCTCTCTAACTGCTGTTTGGGGCACAGAGTTGGGTCCTCGCTGCTGTGGCCTGGAGGAGCAGCACCGATGTGGAGCCCAGACCCACCGCACCCGTGAGGAGCAGTGGGTGCATGCCTGGTTATGAGGACTCATAGAGTCAAAAGGCAGAAGGAAGTGTGGTGGGGTGAGCGGGGCACCCACGTGCCACACTGTTTGCCGTGTGTGGCTGCACCCTGCAAGCTCACAGGGGCGAAGTCATGACCGTGGTCAAGGCTGGGAAGGAACACGCTCATGCTCTTCCCTGATTCCATTTCAGAGAGCAAAAGAGGGGTTATAGCAATGCTTGACAATAAAGCATAAGAGCTCTCAAAAAAGTTAATTTCTGGGTGTCTACCAAATAGAAATACAGACACAACACAACATTGCAGAAAACTGAGAAGGTTTCAGTTTTAATGTTTATTTAGACTACACATATTTAAACCCATTCAGCTCACTGCTGTGAAATAGTGATGATGAACCTTACTTAGGAACCAGCATGTGCAGTAAGAATATGCACATCAGTGGGTGAAACATATGAGCCTCCATCTCTTTGTGCTTCAAACCATGGAGCTGTGAGGGGAAAGGAGAGATCTGAGGGTTAAAGGCACTGATTATGGCTTAGGCAAACTGGAGTGGCAGAATTGGTTT